AATTAGTTTGAAAACATACTAACACTTAACACTTCTTTGATATTCACATACAAGTGAATTGTCCTGTGGCTTTGACTTGAGCTGGTCTGTCAGCATCACACCCTCCATGCTGTGAAAACACATTTAAAGATGGATTCCAGAGCTAAATGTGCAGTTAGGAAAGTTCTATCATCATGGTATTACTAGACCCTCATGGATGTTGTGAGGATATATCAATTGAAGTTTGTGAGGTGCTCAAATACTACAATGATGGAGGTCACATGAACAAGTAAGTACACGGGTAGATAAATAGACTCATGATAGAGAGATACATGCAGTAGGTAGACAGCACAGGACTTCCGCAGAGATGACTCTGGGCCTCAGACAGGTTTGCTAACATCTGAGTGGTCTTGAGTGATCTGCAAATTGTAGGGAATGAACTCGCTGCCCATTCTTCAGGCAGTAAGGTGGAGGGACAAAACCATCCTGCTCTGAAAATCTACAAAATGGTTTTCTTTTCACCCAGGTTTCCTCCCATGGATTTTTCTTCAGGAGAGGACAATTTAGTTTCTTTCTTTTACCAAGTTATATAAAGTAGCCACCAGATAAGCTGCTTGTTTCCCTAGCTCATTATGCAGAAAAGCGGCTTCATGTTAGTAAACCAGCCGCAAATTAAATGTAGTAAACACAAAATCAACCAGAGCTTAGAAGTGAAGTTAATCTTACTGGCAGCTTTTCTTTGTAGAGCCACAATAATTCTGTAGCACATTGGAGTAAACTTCTGTGGCACAGCAATTCCTCATCCATTTTTTGATTGCTATGACAAAGCTACAATGCATATCATTTACAGCTGCCTTTTTCTACATCAATAAAATTCACTCTTGATTACAACATACTAATCTCTGCATACACCTAATTAATCCAAGAATTGACAGCGAAGTCATATATCAAACATGGAAAAACATGTAAATGTTTATATATATAAAATTTAATTCCTGTGGCTGGTTCTGTAGAATCCCAACATTTTATATGGAGAATGACAGATTCTATTTCTCTGCAGCTGACGTCACCTACGACTCATGCACCGCAGTCATCCTATAAAAATCTAAACTAGGAAAAGCTTAGCAATTTATAGACCGTTCTTGGTGGAGGTTGGGGAAAATGCAAGCATTCATATTCTCCTTCTAGAAACAATAGGCCAGATTCTCAGCTTGTGTGAATGCATGTGGCTCCACTGAGATCAATGGTGCTATGCCAATTTATGCCAGCTAAGGAGAACTTGACCCAGTACTGCTATTTCTTAATTATATTGGGATAATCTCTGAAAGTTGTACTCAGGCAAAACTCCAACTGATGTCAGTTGGCTTCGTTGAGGGTCTGGCACAAGTACCACTGAATACAGAGTTGAGCCTGAGTAAGACATGTAGCATGAGCCTGTTGTTTTAAATAATTTCTAATAAGTGTTTTCTCTTCTGCTCCTTCCGTTAGTACAGGTTGAACCTCTCTAATCTGGCACTCCCTGGTCCAGCAACATCCGTGGTCCAGCATAGGCGCCAATTCCATGGGTGCTCCGGGGCTGAAGCACCCACAGGGAAAAATTAGTGGGTGCAGAGCATCCACTGGGGCCAAGCTCCCACCTCTGCACCCTTCGCCTCTTGCACACCGGTGGCCCCATGCTTACCAACTACTCCTCCCTCCCAGCACTTCCGGAGCACCGCGAATCAGCTGATTCGTGGCATTTAAGCTCCGGAGGGAGGGGGAGGACCAGGGGCTGGCGACTGGGAACCCGGGTGAGGGGCTGGCGGCTGGGATCCCAGGTGGCAGTGGGGCCCCCGGGCGGGGGGCCACGCTGGGTGCAAAGCCTGGGTGTGCTGCAGCAACCCGCCACACCCCTACTTCTCGCGCCTATGGAGAGCCTCTGGCATTTTGCATTGATCTCCCATGGTTTGGCAAATTCTCTGGTTTGGTCAGGTCCCGAGGGTGCCGGACTAGAGAGGTTCAACCTGTAGTCTCCTGGCATCTAAGCTCTTAAGTTTTATTTTGTGCCTCTAGCCAAGCCAAGTGACCAGGAGTGACTGGCATTAGTATCTGGTGACAGATACTAACTAAAATATATGCATAAAAATGAATAAACACCCCTTCAGACAAAGTTCTCTTTCTGTGTGAATATATTTTATAAATGGTAGGGAGAGGGTGGATAATACGTTCCCTAAAGATACCATCGGTGGAGGCTTTTCACTCCTGGGCCTCAGATGGGATTGGCTAGATAAATATCCCCCTAGTCAAATATCAACTAAAAATATTTGGTTAAATTTGGCTTGCCAAATGTTTGCTGGTATTTATTAGGTTTAGCAAACTATTTGGTTCACCCATGTCTGGTATTGTAAGTGGGTGTATATGTTTTAGTTAGTTTGTATAACAAATGGTAGGATAAATCATAAGGCTAGACAAAAGACATAGCAACTCCAGCCAGGCTGTGAGTATCAAAAGACCAGTAGAGAAGGACTGAAAGGCATAGAAGAAAAAGCTGCAGGTTGAGTAAAAAACTTAAGAGCTCTGACATCCATCACAACTTGCCAACCCATTAAATATGAGACACATTGTGGGTAATATAAGAAAAGCAATTGTAATATGTTTTAACACACTTAAAGGTTAAACACTGCATGCAAAGTAAATGAAATAGAAATTGTCAGACACTAAACAGTTAAACACCAGAAAGTAAGGAAATTAATTTGTTTCCACTGCAACCCATAACTCAATCACATTGCACATATGCAGAGAGCAGTTAAAGAGAGCACCGTATTCTGTAAGATAATCATACGTACATGCAATATGGCCAAGTTACAGCTGCTGTGGGAATGACAAATTTGTATTTCTTTTGTTTAAAATATTAACCCAAACGTTACATTCACATGGCAGCAGGGGAAGGGATTGCATCTATTATTTAAAAGTATACCCCCAAAGTGTATATAAAGTAATACTTCCATCTTTGAGTTATGATGATGTGAACAACCAATTAAAAGTATCAAGTCTTGTGGTTTATGATGTCACTAGAAACTTCCAATGGAATTACTGACTTATTAAAGGATATTGTAGTGAGGCACAGTAGCCTTCCTCTGAACCTGAGACGGAGGGACCATTACAGATAAGGTTTTCCTCTATTACATACTTGTCCAGGTCATTTATTATGACAGCTGTGATGGACAGACCTTAATATTAATGCAAAATGATATTAATAAAGTTATTATCATTTTTATTACGACATTAAGCTTGCCTGCGTCTTTACTGATGCTTAGGATATATATTTATCATTCCTTTCATACATATGGTGCTTGGAGAAAAGTACTTCCTTCCCATGCATATATTTTTTGTTTATTTAATTATATTAAATATTCAGGCTAACCAAAGGAATTCTGCATTGTCACCCTGGAGACAAACAAATGTCAGGAAAATAGTTCTCCTTAGCCATAAAACCATGTTTATTACCCATAAGAATGTCTCATTTAAACTAAAACACCTCCGTTTACATAAAATATCAGTTTGGTACAAACTTAATCCTCACTCACGAAACAAATTCATGATTTGGGAAAAGACTTGATTGTGACAAGAATGTAGGGTTGTGTTATTAGAGCAATATGTCTTGATGCAAAATGAACTTTTTTCATGCTCCCAAGAAAAACTTATAAATAAAGAATTTTAGATATATCCTTGTTGAAATTAATTTTATGATTACTCCAAATGCTTCATTCAGAAATATCTCTAGGAAAAACATATGTAGCTGGAAATCTTTTAAACCTTTGTTCATTTTTTAAATGTTGAAATGCCAAAGCATTTTGAATGGCACATTTGCAAATATTTTAACTAAATACAAGTGTCTAATGTAATTTCCTAATATCATTGCTGTGTAAATGGTAAAATGCTTTATGTACCAGCCTGGAGCCTAATGATCTTGCTAAAATAATTACTAATGTAAGAAGCCGTTTAAGTTCAGAATAGTTATATTAATGGGGAATTAATTATTACTAGCAGTACTCAAGTTACTCCCTCTCTCAACTCAGGAAAACAAGAACAATCATCTCTCTAAAAACTGTTTTAAAGAATCAACAACTTCTTTAATAACTATTTAAGCTAAGGACTGTTGAAGAAATCATTAATTTTAAAAAGATTGTTTTTGAGAACTAAAAAACTTTTTATAAAAAACAGAAGTGCTTGGACTCTTTAAAACAGTATTTTCATTTCCTGTTGAACTCTAATCAAGCTAAAGAAATTTCTCAGAAATTGAATAAATAAAGAGATAAAACTCTAACTTTAAAGATATTCTTGAGAATCTCCCATGACAAAGACAAAGGAAATACATCTGTCAATAAATAATTATAACTCTAATGCACATATACATGAACAAACTACAGAGGGTCCTGTGGCACCTTTGAGACTAACAGAAGTACTGGGAGCATAAGCTTTCGTGGGTAAGAACCTCACTTCTTGGATCTGAAGAAGAGAGGGTCTTACCCACGAAAGC